TGATTCTAATATGGTATGAAATGTGGGGCTACGGCCTCTAGGGTAAAGGTGAAAAGGTGAAAAAGTGTGACACATTGAATATATATATATATATATATATATATATATATATATATATATATATATATATATATATTCTGCTATAATATTCACTAAATCAAGAAAAGTTCAAGAGAAATTTCTAAGCTATTTGTTTAGCTTCATCAGAAATATTCGGGAATTGGAATAACGCTTTTCAATTTTCAGATTCGTTCTTTTTCTTGCACTGGTTGAGCATTACGCATTCATTTCACACCATTCGCATGAATGTATCAATTTTGTTACGTATTTTCCTTACAGCGTTGTGTCATTTTGTTTGTGTATGTGCTTCGTTTAATTCATGAAATGTTAGCGTGATTTAAGTGTGCATTAGAAATTGGTTATATTTGTATATTGTACCTCTGGTAAATATGACGAAAAATAATTTGATTGATTTGTTTTTACAGCTTATCAACCGTTTTTGGGTTATTTAAAGCAAGAAAATATTTGTAGCCTGTAAGAATATTTTGCAAATAAGAATAATAATTTGCTGATACATAACTTATTAATTAACCCATATCTGGGGAAGAAGAGGTGGATTCATACCTTTTCTAAGGGCATTTGCCCGTAAGAGAATATAACAAAACTAACTGGAATTCTAACTCGGCACTCCGATTTCCCATTCTGGGTCATTGTCCATTGCACCACCCATTCATCGAAGCTTACAGCACCACGTATTCCGAAGCGGTCGCACATCTACATACTGACCAGTTTTGACGTTGCCTAACTTCTTCGGTGATTGTACAGGAATCGGTGTTTCAACGTGATATGGCCGTAAACCGACGGAAGTTGGAAATGAATGTACAGATTATGTAAACTAGTAAGGTTACGTCATCTGCAAATGTCTGCATGTCACATTCCTTTAAGTATAGTTTTTTTTCGAATATTGGTAATAAGAAAAAGTACGTCTAAAAAGCATTGATTGTGTTTTAGTTGTTTATTAATGGTCCTTCTTGTTTCTGTGGAATATCTTAGAGAGGATCTTCGCTACAGAAGCAAAGAATTTCATCGAATCAGAGTGACCGCATCAGAAGATGACTTTTAACAGCAGCAACAACTAAAATGGATACCACATGTAATTCGAAGAAAGAAAATAATGATATAATCAAGACGCTGACGCTCTACACTAATTCAAACAAAAGGCTATAAACATAGCCGCCATCAATAGAAAGTGCGATAACAGTGGACTTGTGGAACCTATATATATATATATATATATATATATATATATGATTGTTGTCGCCTTGTCATGGCCAGAAATAAAGGCACAAGAGAATGATGGAGTTAAACAAATATATTAACAGAAACAGTAATACAAACATATACAAACGAGAGTGTTACAGCAAGAATGTTAGGTCCGACTATCAGAGCTGACTGCTAGAAACTTCACTCTCCAAAAGGCAGTACCTGCTCTTATTCATAGCTGGGAGAGTCCATGCGTATGAGGGTAAATTACCATAACAATGATGGACTCTCCCGGCTTTCAGTTCAGTTTTGATGTTTATGTTTCATATGAGACAACAGTCTTGCACGGGATTTGCAAACAAGTCCGTACGAGGGCAATGCTGAAGGGTGGACCGTCATATGCATCGATGTATTAGCCTGAGATTTAGTGTTAATTCTTAATTCTTTCAGATGGTTGAAACGATTCTTTTCAAAGTTATTTATACCTCGGCAGCAGGTGTTTCTCCAGTTTGCTCGGTTTTCAACAGTAAGTTCGAATTCCTCTATAGGGAGGTTTGCAGGATTTAGATTGTATTTAAGTTTGGCCTTAAGATCTAAGATTTAAAACAGCAGATATTTTTTTATATATAGTGCTCAATATTAAAAATATTAAAATGATATTAAAAATAATCAGGAAATCTCCATATTTGGCAAAGTAGTAAGATTCCATATTTAGCAAAACAGGAAAAATCAACGTTAACATTAATATATATATATATATAAATATAAAAGTGAACATAGAATTCAACACTTAGAGACGACAGTCTGTTTCATGCTATATGCAACCGTCAGGCCACGTGTGCTGTTATTTTTCTCGGCTATTTATATATATATACTTGTCAGTGGTTATTTTACCGGAAGTCGTTTATTTATTTATTTGGGTTAAATTATTTTGCTTGTTTTTATTTACTTTTATTTTTTGTTTCTTATTTTATTTATTTATTTATTATTATTATTATTTTTTATTTTTAATCGGTGTTTTTATTAACGTAGTACAAAATTTGTTTATACCACTTATTTAATAGTTTTGTTTTGGTTTGAGAATTTAATTAAAGCTATTTGTTCGGTTTTGGGGTTGATTGTTGTAGTTTATTCTAACTATTATTTTGGTAGGAACAGTTTTTAATTTGTGTTTATTTGGGTTGATTATCTTTATTTGTTTTTTCTAACGGTAACTGACCCGTATATATATAAATAGCCGAGAAAAATAACAGCACACGTGGCCTGACGATTGCATATAGCATGAAACAGACTGTCGCCTGTAAGTGTTGACTTCTATGTTCACTTTTATATTTACACACGCTCTATCTCTGATATTGAGCACTTTATCCCATAAATATAGCACACTTTAAGACTATATTTCTTCATATATATATATATATATATATATATATATATATATATATATATATATAATGGACTCTCCCTTCGTTTTTTATATATGAATGTCTTTCAGTTCGGTTTTTAATGTTTATGTTATCTCTTGGAAAATATATTCTGTTTATGCAAGAAATGAAATATATTAAAATCAAGTATGGTTAAAAATATACTGCTTTCGTCAACAATGTTTTTATTGAAATTATTTCTGTTGAACAAATTTTGATACTAACTCAAATTATGAGCCTAACCAATGTATCACGCGTTTTATTATTTTGTCAAATAGCGAAAAAAAAAAAAACATTTGTAAAAATTACTTTTGTAATGTGACATCATTCAGCATTTCTCGTTGTTTGTTTGTTTTTTTTTTACTTTTTAAACACAAACATGTTTTGAATAACAAAGCGAGAATCAGAAAAAATTGTCCAGTGTTAATTTCTGCGTATTAAAATGTTTTGCAAAATTTCTGAGACACGCCCTTTTTCAAAACGCTGACTTTCTGACTCTAACCTCCGGCTACACTGTCTTGCGGTGTATCCTATCGTCATCAGTTACCGAGAAACTACACCGGCCTCCGCATACATCTATTCGATGGAACCTTGCAGCAGTACTAAGCAACTAAACATGTTTGTCAGAGTTAGTCAACTTTTGCAGAAGGCCAAATTTAATGGGAACGAACTCGCACTAACTGGATGGTAAAACAAGTCCGATAATTACGGCACCAATACGAGGTTTCTTTGAAATCTTTTCAATATGGAGAGGTATTGTCGAGCGGTACGTTTTCGAATTCTGAGAATCGAATAAAATTTATTTTATTTCTGCAATTTTCGCATGAAGCTTTAGTATGGGCAATAAGTGATTAGAAAATACTGAAGTATTGCATGCCGAACGATTGAAAGAATATGGCTTATTCTTTAGCGCAATAGGAACCAAAATGCTTCCGCTACAAAATTATTAATAATAAAAAAAAATCAACTTATATATTTATACAGAGCTTTGGTTCTTGCATTCAAGTAGACACATGAATACGTTTTCCCAACACGTGTATAATTTTGATTCGACAAGCGGAAACATGCACACACATATTATCCTGAACATGCGCAGTAAAGAATAATCTAAAATAGATCAGTGTGCGTGTAAACATATCTATAGTTATTACTATTCTAATGCCTGTTAAAATAGATGCCGTTGTGCACATGTGAAGAACAGGACAAAAGTATATTTGAAGGGAATAAAAGGAAAAATGTAAGCAGTTCCGTTAACAAAAGTTTATCTTTGGCCGAAATATATTAATTCTATTCATTCATTTGGCTTTTAAGATGGAAAATGCGAATTTTTATTTTCCTGTTTCTTTTCATCATATCTAGATTTACTAATTCGTTTCTTTCTTTCTTTGTCTCCTTTTGTTTTAATTTGTAATATTCTTTCTATCTTTTTCATTTTTTTTTTCTTTCTTTCTTATTTTTCTTTCTTTTTCATTTTGTCTTTCTTTTTCATTTTTCTTTCTTTTCTTCTTTCTTTTTGATTTTATATTTCTTTTTCATTTTTTCTTTTTTCTTTCTTTTTTATTTTCGTTCATTTTCTTTTTTTCTTTCTATATTTTTCATTCTTTCTTATTCATTTTTTCTTTCTTTTCTTTCTTTTAACTGACTGCGCCTCTATTCTTTCCTTATTTCAACTGTTATAGCTATTCTTTGTTTTCCACCGACTACATTTGTATCTTCTTTCCATCCCCTTTTTTTTTTAATTTGCGCTATTCTTTCTTTTTCCCTTTTTCTTTCTTTCGTTCTTCATTTTTACTTTCATTTCTTTTTCTTTCTTTTTTCTTTCTTATTCGTTTTTTTTCTTTCTTTCTTTTAACTGCGTCTCCACTTTTCTTTATTTCAACTGCTTTCTTCAAATGTTATTTTTTCTTTTTCTTTGTTTTTGCTTTCAACATTTGTATCTTCTTTCCATCCCCTTCTTTAATTTGCGCTAATCTTTCTTTCTTTCTTTCTTTCTTTCTTTCTTTTTCATTTTGTGTTCCAATTTTCTCCGTTTTTTATTACATTTCGAAATCCAACTTTAATCTAAGTTGTGTTCAAGAGTTAACCCCTGTCGTTTTACGATTCGTGCAAGTCATCCAAAATCCAGCCCCATTAGCCTGCATATTGATATGAACCGTTGCCGGCAAAGTGTTTTTGTTGATGTCGAGAAGGGATGTGAATGGTGAAGAGATTCCGTCATAAGTGGCCAGTAATTTTCAATGTTTTGCTTCGTCTTTACTTGTCACGACATGTATTCAGGACGGTGAATGGCACTGGTCCGAGTCGACTGGCTCATTAGCGTGATCCTTTTGCGGTGAGACTGGGCTGAAACGCTTGTAACAAAAGCCGTAGGAAATTGAATAAAAGGATAGGGAGGGAGGGAGAGAGAGAAAGAAAGGAAAAAGAGAGAGGGGGTGAGTGGTCAGGGAAGAGGGAGAGAAAGAAAATTAGTAAAAGTAAAGAAGAATAAAAGGAGGAGTGATGAAAAAAGAGGAAAGAAAGAAAACACAAATAAATTAGGAGAGAAAGAGAGAGAGAGAGGGAGAAAGAGAGAGACAGAGGGCGGAAGTGGGAGGGGAAGAAATTAAATGAAAGCAAAAAAGAAGAAAGTAAGGGAGGAATGAAAGAGAAAAGAAGGAAAGTATGAAGGAACCTGTAAAGAGAGAGAAAGAGAAAATTGGTGAAAGCTTAAAATTAATAAATGAACAATGGGAGAAAGGGAGAGAAAAGAAAAGAAATACGAAAGAAACCGTAAAGAGATAGAGAGAGAGAGAGAGAGAGAGAGAGAGAGAGAGAGAGAGAAAATTTTGGAAATTTTGATGAGATGAAGAATTTTGGAAAAAGCTGAAAAGTAATAGTAATAGTAAAAGCAAAGAAGAATAAGAGGAGGAGTGATGGAAGATACAGAACAGAAAGAAAAACAAATAAATTTTATATATATATATATATATATATATATATATATATATATATATAGAGAGAGAGAGAGGAAGGAAAGAAATTAAGTGAAAGAAAAAAAGAAGAAAGCAAAGGAGGAATGAAAGAGAAAAAAAATTATAAAGGAACCTGTAAAGAGAGAGAGATGGAGAAAGAGAGAGAGAGAAAGAGAGAGAAAGAGAAAGAGAGAGAGAGAGAAAGAGAAAGAGAGAGAGAGAGTAAATTGGTGACAGCTTAAAATTAATAAATTAATACTTGGAGAAAGGAAGAGAAAAGAAAGGAAATACGAAGGAAAACGTAAAGAGTGAGTGAGAGAGAGAGAGAGAGAGAGAGAGAGAGAGAATTTTGAAAATTTTGATGAGATGAAGAATTTTGGAAAAAGCTGAAAAATAATAGCAAAACGTAGAAAAAAAGAAAGGGAAAAGGAGAGAGTCTTTGTCAGAGTGAACGAATTTTAGAAAAACAGGCAAAGTATGGGAGAAGGCAGAAATTAGGAAAAAAGAAGAACGTAAAACATAAATTAAAGAGTCTGAAGTAATGTTGGTGAACTAGCATTTTCTGAGATGTAAAAAAAAGAAGCTTATTCCTTTTTAGAAACAAGCGACTTGAAATAAGGAAACCTCGTCTCGAGTTCGATATCTTTCTCTATTTTACGTTCAAGTACATTTTCAATATGGTCTAGGAAGCATATTAACAGCAGAGGGAAAGGTGCGACACGGAAATCTGAAGGCGAACTTCAAATAGCGAAAGATGTCTTCCGAAAGCTGATCAAAGTATTAAGAAACAGAAAGTATCGTTAGGAACAAAGAAAAGAGCACTGGACTGTTATGTAGCATCAGTATTCCTGTATGGCACTGAATGCTGGACAGTCTCAGCTTAGATGATGAGGAGACTTGAAACCACAGAAATATGTTTCTACAGAAGGATGTTAAAAGTAACAGGGACCAAACGTGTGAGCAGGGACGAAGTTCTAGAGACAATGGCAACAAAAAGGTCACATACTTAATATCAGGAAGAAACAGTTGAAAGTTTTAAGGCACCTAATGAACAAATAGGGCTTGGCAAACAGAATATCAGCCATAAACACTTTGGCTGTCCTCGAGGTGCAAAACATCTTTAATAGGACCATAGCTGATCGTAAGTGAATGGCTGTCAATTGAGAACGCTTCGCATATGCAGCCGTATGTTGATCGTTTGTATGTGTCCAGATTCGAAGGAGGCAGAGGATTAGTTCAACTATAACTGTCTTACAAAACCACGGCATTCGGTCTTCAAAGATGCCTGGAAACTGCAGAAGACTGGATGATGATCTGTGTCAAAGAACATGAAAGAAATAAGAAACTTTATTCAGTACTAAATGAAGCCTACAAATTCAAAAAAGAGAACAATAGAAGAACAGGAATTAAGAAGACAGAAGATAACGATTGACATTATATTTCAATTTTTGAAGATCAAAGTTGACCGGGAAGATAGAAACCAGAATAGAGTTCCACAAGTGAGAAGTGCGATAGAAGAAACTGTTAGCATAGAACTTACGGTAAACCAGACCATTTCAACTGTAAAATAGCACTGCTCTTAAATCCATAAAGTCTAGGTACGATAGAGAAAAATTCATCAGAACAATTGCCATGGAAGTGTTTATAGAAAAGGCACATGGAAACTACGTTACGGCGATGGTAAAGTGACTGAAGCCGAGATAACACGTCAGAACCAATAATATTGCAGATTTTTCTTTGGATTTTATCAAGAATCACTAAATATAATAACAGAAGCAACAGACCAGATGTGATAGAAGTATTCAAAGCAAGGACATATGGTAGACTCATAAAAATGTAAAATAGATTCTGACAAAAAAAATAAAAATGTCGAGCACGACACAAGGAAACAACTGTTCTAATAGCAGACGAAGCAGCTGATTCCATATAATCTCTCCCACTTCGCGTCAACGGCAAACATTAATTAGAGAAGACGCAATAATTCACTCTCTTGGAGGTTAGTCTCAGCCATGTTGTAAATCGAACGCGAGGCTGGAAAGTAAAGATTGGTTAGCTCTGGTCAAGATGGCGGCAATATTCAAATTTTTGCCTGATCTGGCTCTTGTAAATATAGAGCATCCCAGAAGGAGTCAGATACTTTCTGGAACGATAAAGGGATTCGACCATTTTTTTTTTCAGCGATAGATCGTATATACGAATTCCATTTGAGGGTAGACATGGTTTCTTTGACAGACCATATAGTGTAGAGGAAAGAAAGGGAAAAAATACCCGGGAACTCATCCGAAAACTGAAGAAATCGTAGAATAGCGTTTTTGTCCCAAATAATGAAGCTTTCGAAACCGTCCTAAATATGCAGCTAGAGAAACTGAAGATTCGATTACGAGTTGAAATTGTCTACTGTTGTGAGAATATCGGGAAAAAGTACTATGCTAAGAATATCGAGGAAAAAAATGTGTGATAGATTTGAGTAGATATGTCCTCATTTTATCCCGAGTGATAACCACTAGTGTTTCTAGTCAGGGCATGTAAATAACTAATTTCTCTCTTTTAGAAAATCACATAGAAAAATTGAAAAAAAAAAAAAAAAAAAAGAAAGAAGTAAAACGCGGATCAAATATCGAGGCACCTGTAGATTAAATAAAGCGTTTAGTTAGGAATTCCTTGAACGCGTATATACGTGCCTCCACAAAAGATGCTGGAAGAATGGTCTGCTCATTTTATCAGTCCAGAAAAATACGTAACTCTTGCTTCAATGCTCTATGTTTGTACGAGTCAGGTCAGACCAAGAATGGAGTATTACTATCATATCTGGGCTGGTGCTGTCCAACCCTCAGTGCCCAGCCACGACAGAATTTCAAAAATGCCTACGTGGCCTTGTCAGTGTGGTATTTTTCGCTACCCTGCAACCCTTAACCCAAATACGAAACGTCGTCAGCCTTTCACTGCTTTAGGAAAACTATCATTAAAAAAAATAAGGTTACCCGAATCGATATACGCCTGATGATGGCTGCAAGACACAAAGACTGAAACGTTGTGATTACAACAACAAAGATTAGGATAATAGGTAAATAAAAAAAACTTGCACATTATTTGGACTATTATCCACATCTTTGTCGTCATATTTATTACAACGTTTCGGCCGTTGTACGCTCCGGCCTTCTTCAGGTGGTTGGAATGTCCAACTGAACCCTTTATTTCGCTCACTGGGGTAGACTACTCTAGTTCCACGTGCCATTTTTAATGGATGTCAATTATCAGTTATCTCCTGTTAATTTCCCTCTGAAAATTCTCCACTGCCTTAACCGAGTATTGAACTCACACTCTTTGGGTCCTGTCACTGGGTCTGAAATAACGCCTTTATCCACTGTGCCATGTGTCCTTCCAATGTGACAGTTGGGCTAATAATTATTAGCGCACATGGTTCAATATTGAAACGCTTTGGAAAGAGGATGGAAGAAAAGGAAATCCGAATCTCACCCCACAAAAAAAATCGAAACCTTTTAAAAGGCAGCGTTATTAAAATCACGACTGGTTTAAAAACGAAATGAGAGCAGATAATAACAAATCTATTAAATGTGGTGAGACGTTTCTGAGTCTGACCACGAAATAGAAACAAATAAACCTAATCGTAATAATGCCGATGTATGAACAATCATTCGGGGCAGAAGTATTTTTAACGGAGAAATAGGCATTGTTAGCGCGCAGTTGGGATCTCTAAGTTGTAGGAAGAGAGTTTGGGAGGTTTAAAGAATTAAAAGAGGAAGAATTATGAAATTGTTCAGTGAAGTGACTGATGGATTCGAGGTGAAAGGTTAAAAACCTTTAGCGAGTAGAATAAGAAGAGAGAGAGAGAGAGAGAGAGAGAGAGAGAGAGAGAGAAATATAGAAAGAGAAAGACAGAGACAGAAAAAAATTCGGAGAGAAGAGAGTTTCGCATTAAGAAAGTGAGTAAGAAGGAGAGAAAGGATTTTGTCTTGGAGAAAATGGTATGAAAAGAAACTAAAACGATAAAAGACTGGTAACGATAGTGGTTAGGTGTGGCGAGAAGACAAAAACGCGGAAGAAGAGAATAAAAATGACTGAGGTTCGGACGCTGGAAGAAAAATTCATTTGTGCATTTTATAGGCTGACCAAAAAAACGGGAACTTTTTAACAATCCAATAAAACCAAGAGTGATGGAAGAAAAATATTTTATTCATAGAAATTGAAACCTTAAAACATGCCATTTAAGAAACAATGATGGAATTTTCATTTTTAAAATTACGTCCCAGATGGCGTCCTCCTGAATGAATGCATTCTTGAAATCTGCTGTTGAGATTCCTCATTGACTGCTGCAACATCTCAGCTGGGATACTGTGAATTTCATCTTGAATTCTAAATGGCGAAATGTTTACTTGCTCAAGGTCACTGTCTCGCAGTCTTGCCACTTGCTCTTGTCTGGCAATACGCATTTCAAAAATTCCCATTTTTTTCGGGTCGCCCTGTATTTTAAAAATAAACGAAGGACGGCAGGTCATTCATAATCGTAGAGTTCTTACAGCGGCTTCCAAGAAGATAAATGGGAGCCATATTTGGTGTAATTAAAGTAAAAAAGAATCTGTTATTTTATTTATGAACAAATTATAGACATCGTCGTTCTTAATTCTGAATGTTTATTTAAATTCTGAAAATAGAGCAATCAAAGATATTATATATATATATATATATATATATATATATATATATATATATATATATATATATATATATATATATATATTTTCTCTGCTAGTTTGTTTGTCATCATCTTCTTCTATATGCCTTGTCTCTTCAGGACGTTGGTGATCAGGCCTCTCCACAATTTCCTGTCCTTTGTAGCTCTAAGTAAATTTTGTCTTTTTTCTATCTCTCCTAAACCATGTTCTGCCAACCGTTTATAAAATTTCGTTCGGTAGGATATGCGGCGTTTCCCATCGTCTCTCTTCTCTTTATGTACTCTAGAAATTTCAACTGTCTCTTTCTGGTGTTAAGTATAAGTGTCAACTTTTGCTTCCATGTCATAAAAAAAAGAAAAAATAAAGAAAAATAAAGTAAGACAATGAGAATCGATTTCTTCTTCCGGAAATCATCTATCCATTACGCGCAAAGGCCAGGTAAGAGCAGAGTCGACTTTCGATGATTTTCGGACAGATTTTTTTTATTTTTTTTGTGGGGGGTTAATTCATTGACCTTGCGTCGAATTTTTCATCGTGTTTCCAAATACAGATCATGTTAACAGATCGTGATAGCTATTAGGGAGATGTGATTAAACATACTTCAATGTTTCAGAAACATTTATTCAGTATTATTATTATTTAGGTAAAAAATATTATAACATAACACAAATAGCTATATTGTTGAAAATATTTCGGCAATATACGCATTTTTTACGTATTTGTGGTTATTTTTTTAAAAACTTTTATCAAAAACGACATTGTACATGTAGTTATGGATAATATACATTAATTACTATTTTTAGAAGAATTTTCCACAAGCGAGAAGTGCAAGTGAAGAAACTATTAGCATAGAACTTACGGTTACATCTAACGATTTCTACTGTAAAATGATGAGACCTTGACGTTAGTCTAGTAATGTCAATGAATTTGTAAAGTTTAGTTACCAAAGGGGAAAGTTCATCAGAACGATTACCATGAGAATATTTAAAGAAGAGGTACAGAGAAGCTACGTGACGGCGGTGAGAGAATGAAGAGCCGAGATGCCATGTCAGGACAAATAACATTGCAGATTATTCTTTGTATTTCATCAAGAATCCCTAAATACATAGTAGAATGTGACAGCAATATTCAATGCATGGTCGAATGGGAAATTTACAAATATGTAAGAGAGATTCTGTCGAGAAAATTCTCTAATGTGACACCATGAACCAACTTTTTTAATAGGAGACCTAGCAATTTACTATAATTTTTCCACTTCATGTCGGTGGAAAACGTTAGTCCGAAAAGACATAATAAGACACTTTCTCGGAGGTTAGCATCAGCCATAATGATGAAAGGCAGCAAAACAAAATGTTCTCTCAGACGATTAAAAGAGAGAAGTTTCGTTTTGGAGGTGTTAAAATTAACAAGTCATATTTTGACCCAGTTAACAACAGATTGTAGGTCATTTTTGAGATCAGATGCAAATCCGACCTTATGAAATCGAACAGACTTACCATTAAGATAGGAATAAATGGTTACATCAACGGTATAGATATCAAATTGGGAACTGATAATTTTAATGCCTTTTTTTTTCTTTTGAATATTTTGAATTTCCTTGTGTGGACTTTAAACTTTCCAAAATTTCAGGCATGCTACATGATGGCGGTGGGATCGTGACTGAAGCTGAGATGCCAGGTCATGACCAATGACATTACAGATTGTTTTTTGAATTTTATCAAGAATCTCTAAATACGGGTACTACACTAGATGTGGCAGCAATATTCAAAGTTTGGATGAATGGTAAACTTATAATTATATAAGAAGTTTCTAGCGGGAACCAACTTTCCTATCAGTAGATTCAGCAAATGATTCAGTATAAACTTAGTTCAAGAATACTGATAATGTACATTTGTTTAGTTTATTATTATTATTTTCTTGTATGTCTGCAAGTGTTTTATGTTCAGGATTTAATGAACGTAAAAAAATGTTCAAACGTTTGTTGGTTCCAAGTGCTAGCAACTGATTCAATATAATCTTTCCACTTGATGTTAGTGGAAAACGTTAGTCCGAAAAGGAATAATGAGTTACTCTCCTGGAGGTTAGCATCAGCCATATTGATGGAAGGCAACAAAACAAAATGGTCCCTCAGACGAGTAAAAGAGAACAGTTTCGTTTTGGAGGCGGTAAAATTTAACAAGTCATTCCAACAGATTGTAGGTCACTTTTGAGATCAGGTGCCAATTTGACCTTATCAAACCGAACAGACTTACCATTAAGGGAGGAATAAATAGTTGTGTCATCAGCATAGACAGCGAGTTGAGAACTGATCACACACACACACACACACGCACATACATAGACGTGTTTGCGCGTTTATCGTTTAATATTTTCGCATACATTTCATTTTTCAATTAGTTAGCCGCGTTAGGCGTTATCATTAGTTTCTTTCACCAACTCTCTGCTTTTCTTTCTTGCTCTACCTCTCTCTCTCACACACACACACACACACACACACACACACACACACACACACACACACACACACACACACGTGCACACACACACATATATATATATATATAAAATAACGTATAAACATAAAAATGCCATAAAACACACACACACACACATATATATATGTGTGTGTGTATATAAATTTCCTGCTCGGGAAGGGGAAAGGTTAAAAAAGAAAAAGCAACAAACGTTTCTGGTCATAATTCTTATGACCAACGAATATGTATGAATGTTTTTTTTAGTGAAGTATCGTTTCATAAGAGATAAAAACTTCCCTGGCCACAAGTAGAAATTACTTAACTGTTATGTCAAGCAGAGTTCCTTGCGAGTGTGGGTCTTTCTGCGTGTTAGACGTAAGAAGGAAAAGACGAGCATTAACTTTGTTTTCCTTTTGTCTCGTCTTGGCTGAGGAGGATGTGACATAGGGCGTTTCTGATTTGTTGCTTGCTATTTCAAAATCAGCAGTGGTAGTTTTTTATATGTCCGTTGTTGTGTGTTTGGTGGATTTTGTTTGCTTCAGGATCGCCTACCGGAATAGTTATTGTTTCGATAGGGTCTCTTGAATGAACAAGTATGATGTTGAAAGACCCGAAACTTGTCATAACCCCAAGTCATAACATCACTGATGAGGTGATACTGCGCACCTGTATGTATTTTTATATGTATTCATAACAAATATTATTTTATTTTAGATATTATAACAAAAATTTGTTATAATATCTAAAATAAAATAATAATAATATGTTGCTCTACTTTTTTTTAAGAGTAAATGCTATGAACAGCGGAATTTTACTTCATCTGTTCTATCTCTCTATATATATATATATATATATATATATATATATGTAAATAAAAAGAAAGAACAGTAAGATATATAATCCGGTGTTCTTATAGATATTTTTATTCTTACAAAATAGTGCTCGATGTAAATTTACAGAGCATTAATATTATATATTAATATTCGGGGCTTTTAGCTTCCATTTTTGAAACATGGTTAGAACTATGTAGCAGAAAAAACCATATTTTAAATCAATTAATTTTTATATATATATATATATATATATATATATATATATATATGTAAAACGGTGTAGTAATGGTTAGCGGCTCGGATTGAGGAATCGGAGAGCAGAGTTCGAATTTCCATTACATTCACTTACGTGCTAACACCCTTGAATCCTCTTCTTTGCCCTCCAGCTATGGTTAAATAGCAGGACAGACTGGGTTCTATAGCCTTGAATGGCACCGGGACTAGGAGAAGGACAACTCTGAATTCAAAACCTCTGGAGGGTCGTTTGGGGACCTTGTGGCACGTAGTGCGCCAGGTCTCTGTATTCGGCCTTTCAAAAGAGTGGATGGGTCTGCTCAAAGCCATCACCACTATAATCAAATCATATGTGCTGGTGTCTGGCTGTCGGTTCCTAGAAACTGAGCTGCTTGACCCTCATAAGTCATATAGACGGGAGAGAGTCGAATAGAATATATATATGAAGAACTTTCTCACTGCCAGTTCAAGGAAGACATTTGTATCACTATCACACAAAAAAGAGAATGTTTAACATAAAAAAAACATAAGGAAAATTAATTCATTTTAATAATATGTGGAAATATTCACTCTTTACCTGAAGAATGGTGCGAGACCCGAAACTCGTGTTGTAAAATTATGGCAAATAAAGCATTATGTATATTAAAAAAAAATCCACATTACAACCAAAAACGTTTGCGGTCTCTTTCTTCTTTTTAAGATATACACTTTTCTCTCGTTGGAACAACTATAACCTCTTCCTATATATATATATATATATATATATATATATATATATATATATATATATATAATCAAAATATATATATATATATATATATATATATATATATATATATATAATTTGTGTGTGCGTGTTGAGTGGAGGGGATATGCCCACGCGCGTGAGTTTTTTAAAATCTTTCCCACTTTTGTTCGAAAGAATTGACACATTAACACTCAACAATAATTGTATTTTTCTGTTTACTGTCAACACCCAATGTGGACGAAAATATCTAAATGGCCAATATTACTTTCTTTTTCTTTTTACTTTATCGGCGTTCCACAACTCTGCTATCGGATATAGAACTTTTAGTGGCGTTTACTAATTTCCTAGTGGAAAAAAGAACCCTCTAAAAGTGGCAAAAATCAACCAAAATAGAACCATTTCCACCGTAAAACTTTTTTACTCAGGCCATTATCTGAAATGACATTTCTTGCGACACAAAACAAAGCGCGTAATCTGTAGCGTTAAGGTAATGGTAATATTTGCCGTTTCCTTATAAGGAAACATTCTGCATTCATTGACCGAGCAGCCAGTATTTTCGTCGGTTGAAATTAATAAAAAGTTTCTAAAACAATTTTTCAGGAAAATGTGTTTTTCAAGTTTCCAAACTGATATCGCTTTTACCTAGTATTGATGGGATGGTGGGGTTTTTCCTTACTAAACTTTTCTGTAAAGTTTTGTCGAACCTCGAAAGCTGATTTCGTGACATTATTTTCTCTTTGAGTTATCCATTTTAGTTTTTGCTGTCATCGAAAGTGCTAAAGTGATATGGCTTCTGTTATTTGGTGCAGCACTTTATTTGTGATTCTGTTGCGCCAGAGCACAACCTTCAATGGTTCGGCCTCTCTAAATGCTCATAGTGTTCCTTCGGTCGAAGCCATTATAAACCATTGATCTGAGAAAACGGTTGTGTACATGTCTCTGTCTACACAATCACGCACACACACAAAAAAACATATATTGTTAGAAATTTTTTGTTTATAGGACTTGTATGCTCAGTATTGGAGAGAGAGAGAGAGAGAGAGAGAGAGAGAGAGAGATGAAATGGACAAAGTCCAACAATTATTTCAAGACATTTTTTATGTTTATACATTCTTTTTATAGATACAAATATTTAAGTAAATGCTCTGTTTATAATAAACAGTATTAACGACATTTACCGACCCGAATGTCCGAGAAATTTTCATAGAAAATATGCGTCCTCCGACAAGAATCGAACCTGTATCCTATACAGAATCGCCATATAGCCTGACGTGCTTTTACCGATTGAGCCACAGAGGAGCGTTTCGGTTAGCAAGGTCGATTTTACTGTTTTTAAACTACAATTCTCCATGGTTTTCTCTCGTACATTCATATCTGCTCGATGCGTATACAAATGTAAACAAATGACGTCGAAGGACGCATATTTTCTATAAAAATTTCTCGGACATTCAGACTGGTAAACGTCGTTAATACTGTTTATTATAAACAGAGCATTTACTTAAATATTTGTATCTATAAAAAGAACGTATAAACATAAAAAATGCCTTAAAAGAATTTATACATCTATCTATCTATCTATCTATCTATCTATATATATATATATATATATATATATATATAACAAAAGTTGTATTTTCCCAAAAGCTCTTTTAATGTTCTGATTAATCTTAATTCTTAAGTTAATGATTGAGGAAGATCACGACGAGTGCTATGACAATCCGTAGTAATTCTATCATAAATATGAATGCTGGTCGTTATTTTAAGAAGTAAGGGGGTACAAATGAATAGATTTGAAATTGATAACTTTTTCCATTCTACTCAAACAGTCGTTAAACACTTTTACGTCTTTCTTTCATCCATCAATGAGTGTGTCTTCCCCCTCTTTCCACGTGACCAAAACGGAATAAACAATTATTTATGAGATTTTAGTTCGCACGACTGTTGCATCCTGTTAACACGTGGAGAAGCAAAATGATAAGAGATAGAGACCCTTTAGAATTATGTAAATCCTAGACAATTTCCTCCTGGACAGATACCAGTTGTTGCGTTATTATGTAAGATGTATAATGTCTGGCGTTCAACTTTCTTAATAAGTAAAAGTAAAGAGGATTTACATGCAGACTTCGTGTCATGACCTATATTAAAAAGAATTTTAGTTGAGTTTGAATTTACCGTAAGTCATATCCAGCAATTATCTTAAATAACAACTTAAAAGAGACTGTTTGACAAACACAAGGACTGACCAAAATTCATGTTAAAAAAATTAAAAAGAAAAAAAATGAAAACTACAGACAAAAGTTCATTTTCTCCATCAAGACATTCATTTCTGTAGTTCACAAGCAAGCAGAATTTTTTTTTTATCCTGATGATGGCCATGTTGGCCGAAATTAGTCGAGGAATCTAAATGAAATAATAATAAAAATGAAAGAATATTAATATACAACCCAGTGTGTCTGAAGATTTTAATTTTTTTAATATTTTTTACTGTTCAAAAAAAAAAAATAAATATGTATATGTGTGTGTGTGTGTGTGTGTGCATGTGTGTGTGCGTGTGTGCGTATGTGTCTGTGTCTGTATGAATTTGGGAATTTATATTCAAATAGACACATGAAGAACCCTATATCCAATGTAATAAGCGTACACAGACGTTTAAAATCAGTTTTTATTCACCCAATGACTATTTGTTGCAGTAAAAAAAAAAAAAAAACACATTCTAAAAGAATAATAATACAAAATACACGTGTGCTCATGTCAGAGATTTATTTATTAATTTATTTATCTATCTCTGAAAGGCGGTCTGTCTGTTTGTCTCTCTCCACCAGTCCTGGTAGGGATAAAAACCAACATGAATATCTAAGCGTATATATCCGCATCCATTTTTGTTGCGTTTTTCGTTTTGCATTTTTGATTCTTCTTTTGTATTACGCAAACTCTTGACATTACACGCAGATACACGCATCGAGGATATATTAAAAAAAAATATTGTTAGAAGTGAAAGAAAAAAAAAAATGAAAGGAGAGAAAAAGAAAACTTAACTTATAGGCCCTAATACACGACCGTTTCCCGCCACGATTACTTGCAATTGATGTCAATACTTGCAACAACAATATCAATAACAAACCCAACAGTCTTTATATTCATCAATCGTAACATTTCAAGAATCAAAGGCCTCGGTTTATTCCGAATTTTTTTCCCCTCTATTTGTCCTCCTGGGATCTTAACAGCAACAGAAGCAGCAGCAGCTACAAGCCCAACAGCAACAACAACAACAACAACAAACAACAACAACAATATTAATAATTAATAATAATAATAATAATAATAATAATAATAATAACGATGTCTACAAGACATTTGTTGTGAACATGCAAGTCCACGATTAATAACAATAACAGCAATAATAATAATAATAATAATAATAATAATAATAATAATAATAAATTCCCTTCATTTTTTTTTAACAAGATACATAAGCATATTGATCTTGAGCAAGAAAGTGACAGTGGTGACAATCGTTATCTGAGCACTGGGAACGGTCAAGAAGAACAAAAAAGGCAGAACGAATTGAAAACGACAGAACTGTGAAAACCTTTTTGCATATCGAGAAAAGTGATGGAGAATTAAAGAGGATTGATGCCTGAAACTTTTGTGTCATCCAACAAAGTATACTGAAGGGAACAATCGATTAGTAAATTTTTCTTCTTCTTTGTATTATTGTTGTTGTTGTTGTTGTTGTTTTTATTATTATTATTATTATTATTATTATTATTATTATTATTATTATTATAACAAAACGAAGAAAAATAATAAAATGAAAGAAAACAGATATTAATAGATCAATAAAGAGAATAATAATAATAATAATAAATAATGTCAGAAAGCAAAAGAACTTGTAATAATAATATTAAAAAGAAATAATTTTAATAATAACAATAATGACGATGATGTTGAAGAAGAGGAATAATAATAATAATAATGAAGAGAAAAGGTTTAATAATAATATTAAAGAGAAGGATTTATAATGATAAAGTATTACCACTACTATTAATATTATTATCAGAGATAATAATAATAATAATAATAATAATAATAATAATAATAATAATAAAGAGAAGGATTTATAACAAGAAAGGGAACGATTATTACTAATAATAAAAACAGCAATAATAATAATGTGAAAAGAAACAATAATATTAAAAAGGAAGGCTTTATAATGTTAATAGTAGTAGTAATTGAAATTCTTAAAAAAGAATAATAATACTGAAGATAAGCATTTATAATAATAATAATAATAATAATAATAATAATAATAATAATAAAAATAACATTTCCAATGAAATAACACTTGCAATTTCTTATGAAAGAAAAGAAATACTACTACTACTAGTAATAATAATAATAATAATAATAATAATGAAAAGAAATGTTTCGGTTTGAAGCATAGAAATTTGTATTTTTCGGCACAAGCCTCGCGCCAAACAGTTGCAAGCATTCCAACATCAAAACCATTTTGTTTATGAGTCAAGTGTGCGTGCGAAAAAGAGTCCCCTGACTGAGATCTTTTCGCCTTCCTTTTTCTCCTTCAGCTGCAGCCTGAGCGAATGGATCAGAGCTACCATTGGTTCAGAAGTCACTGTATAACTCTCAAACGCATAGAGATCTGCTGCGTACACAACGAAGACGAGGAAGTGAGAAGACATCCCACGTGTAGAAACGCACTCATGATATACAGGGAAGCAGTAATCGCAAGAGTAGTCGCCTTCAGAATAACAATGAGAGAAATAAAGAACACGAGAAAGAAAATAAAAATGTAAAAACAGGCTCGTGATAGTCTGTGAATACCTTAATTAAAGTTTCTTTATTTGAAAGTTTTTTTTCTAATCTTTGCTAACATGTGGAAATATTTCCTTTGTGCGTTGTCAAAATGCATTTCGGTGACCTTTTTATTTTATTTATTTATTCCACTTGTCGTTGCCGGGGATATATATATATATATATATATATATATATATATATATTGATGGTCGAACATATAAAATTGTGTGGCCATCTCTAAATAGATCAATGAATATACAAAATGCACACACACACACACACATATATATATATATGAGTTGAAAAGGCATATAAAAATAGACTAACAATGAAAGTGTATTGGCAGGAGGGACACGTATAAATATAATAGTTACCTACATGTTTAGTATGTGGGTATATATATATATATATATATATATATATATGTGTGTGTGTGTGTGTGTGTGTGTATATATGTGTATATATATATATATATATATATACGTATGTCTGTGTGCATGTATGTATGTGTGCGCCTGTGTGGCCTATTAGGGAAGAGTGCTCAATATCGGTGATAGGGCGTTTATGGATATTGACATATAGTGTTGCTTCCTGTGTACACACACAACCACACCTCTAGCTTTTCTTCTGTGTATATATATATATATATATATATATATATATATATATATATATATATATAGATATATATATCTTTTGTGTGTGTGTATATATATATATATACAAAGTATATATATATACAAAGTATATATATATATATAAAGTATATATATATACAAAATATATATATATATATGTGTGTGTGTGTATATATATATATATATATATATATATATATATATATATATATATATATATATATATATATATATATATATATATATATATATTCTTCTATTTGAATAATGGCGTAGAATTCCTGATTTTGCTCTGTTTAGCCATAACTACATTTAATGTGTAGAAACGCACACGCATGTACATAGTGAAATACACACACACACACACACAGTGGGCGAGCAAGAGAAAGAGAATCAGAAAGAGAGAAAAGAGAGAGAAAGAGAGAGAGAGAGAGAGAGAAAGAAAGAAATAGAGAGAGAGGGAAATATGAGGTTGTATCAATAAGTCCGTCCCCAGTTATTATGTGAATACTGATCTGTAATTTTCAGTATATAATGTCCGTTCGACGCTGAAGCTTAGGTTAAGTGCATTGAAAAAGAAGGAAATTATGTTGAAAAATAAATATCTCTTGTGCAAGATATTTTCACATTTAGGCTACGGATTTATTCTTGTAGCTATGAGGTTGAGTCCTATTTCATTTCCGTTTCTGAGAAATAATTGTGAGGACGAATGCATCATTCTAACTGTTCCTTAAATAAACCATAAAAAGGTGTTGAAAAATGGCTTCTATACGACAATGTTCAACGCAAGACAGTGTGGGTTAACGAAGATAAATCTCCAGAACTGATCCTAAAACCTAAACTCCAACAAAAAGCAATGTGATAAAATGGGATCCTTAAAACTTATTGCTGACCACTGGTATTCGAGGATACCCGTTTACTAGGGCGGCGAGCCAATCCCTAATTGCAGACACTTGCCTTAGTTTCAGTTTCTGGAAGAGAGCGTGTTATCTAACGTGATCAATAATTTGAACAAGGCTACCAAACTCATGCCCTCGGTCACGATGACTTCGTGCCAAGGGTTCCGTCTACCCAGTTTCAATCACAAGGCTTGGGTCAACCCATTGTATGGTTTTCAGGCACTTTCCAAAGGTGCCGCACGCTGGGATCAACCCCTCCAGTCCGATAACATTAAGAAGTCTACTTCCTTACAAATCGACCATGAGGAGATTCGAGCCCGGGTCTCATGGTCAGAATGCGAATGTTCTAACCACTCAGCGACGTGCTCATATGAGCGTAACGAAACAATAAATGCACAATTAAATGTTCAGCAGCTACAACGTGTCCGTAAATGTTTGTTCGAAAAGCACCTTGCACTTATCAATATGAAAACTGTCGCCGTTCTTCATGACAATGTAAGGTTTCATACAGAAAGAATAACACTGGAAAATATTTTGGCATTTGGTTGATCTGTTCCACTCCACGCGCCATATTCACCCGGGTGTGCACTAGTCGATTATTACCTTTTTCAACTGCTGCAAGACGCTTTTATGACCCCCCCCCAAAAAAAAACACTTTCTCTAATGAAAACCAGATTAAAGATTTCGTCGAATTTTACTCAAGTGGTAACGAAGGGCTGTCTGCTAAGTCTGCAAATAATGGTGAATATATAATTAAATAAAATGTAACTGTACTTTATTTTTTAAGGATAAAGTTGATAAAAACGGAAATTATTGACGACTCAACATCATAGATACCTTCAGAGAAATTCACACACACCAACACACACACATGTCACAGGAGAAAGAACAAATAGGAAACGTTTATCAATCTAACATGTTTCGCTTTTATTAAAGTTTCATCAGAGAATGAGACATGGAGAAAAAAAGAACTTCCGGTATTTTTACTTTTATGTTGTTTGAATTTCATTGGTTAATCAGGCTTCACGTGCATCTCGCTTCCTGTTAGATTTAAAGTAATGGATTTAATAATGGTTAGCGATGTAATATAGCGTTTTTGAGACATGTTTATAGTTAGTAAAATATTTATCAGGATTGCTTCAAAGTATTTTCAGCGTAAAGAATTATGTTCTTTTAATTATGGTGGCATTTATAAAGTTATAGTCTATTTTGTTCCTGTGTATTCCGGGCGAATTTAAAAGGGTTGTCACAACGTAGATCCTTTTCTGCTCCTGGATACGGGCTTTTAGATTTTGAGATGTTATGCCGATGTGAGTATTTTTACATTGATAAATACCGGCATTTGAAGTGTTTTTTTTTCTCTTCCAAATTATATCTCCGATTGTCTTGGGTGTGGTGGTAAAAACCGTAGTATTATGAATAATTTATTTTCCAATTTTGTAGATAGAGTGTTTTGAATAAATATTTTACCAACTATGAACACACGCCCAAAAAACTATATTACATCACCAACCGTTATTAAATATATTCTTAAAGAATCTACCATATGTTTATCTTCAACAACCGATGTTTATGCAAAAACGTTCCCAAATCGCCCGTGCATTCAATACTACTGCCATATCTGGTCTGATGCTCCTGTTTTTAATCTAGAGATTCTTAACAAAATCCAAACGATCTGTAATCGATCCTGACTCTGATCGTTCTGATAAGAAAAGAACTTCTGAATTTGATGGTGTGAGTCTCAGACTCAACACGGAGTCCTACATCAAGTACTTTGAAGAGATTGTGCTGCTCTGGGTCAAGTGGATAGCTGCCGGAAAACCCTTTGTTGGGCAACAGGATTCTGCACCTTGCCACACAACAAGAAGAAACCAGTCATGCTTACCATACAATTTCTTCGACACCATGACCTTTTACATCAGGCCACCTAACTCCCCCGAATGTAGCACCCTTGATTATTATGCGTGAAGCACAGTTGAACGAGAAACCAACAAAACTCCTTGTAACTGAGGACAAGGATTATGGCAGCATTTACCAACTTAAACAAGGAGATCGTCCAGAAGAGTTGCAGGAGATTCCGAAATCGTCTGAAGGCCGTGGTTGAAGCCAATGGGGATTTTATTGAATAAATTTACTCTTTAGCGTTTCAAGATATTTTTGTGTACTTTTGGTAAATATATCTGTTAAAATGAGATATCAGTGTTATTTTCATTTTTGCGTAATTTAGACGACAATTTATCCATTGAACACTGTACAATAGATAATTATTTAAAAAAAAAAAGAAAAAAAAAGCTGATCTTGCCCTACAGGATCCTTACACAGAGCTAATATATAATGAATGTAGACCCAAATTAAAATCTTGATGTATTCAAAGCTCCTTTCCTTCAATTTAATACAAGGCTAAACAGAATGGAAAGAGTGTAAGGATTTGTAGCTTCCTTTTGGAAATCTGCGTCCGAATTTTTGTTTTCGACACCAATATTTGTCACCTATTGAAAATGCGCATCTCTCCCAGTCACGATGTAGAATCTAGAATCTTGAATGTATTAAAGACTTTGATATTCTTCCGCATGACCATTATTTTAGAAATCAGTGAGTTATAAACTGATTTATCTAGTGAATCATTTTTACTAATTAGTCACCCAATACAACGCTACAAGGTTACCGAATGAGGTTGTATGGACGTAAGAAGAGGTAGTTTTTTTTTTGCATTGATGTTCACCCTGTACAAAGCCCAAGAGCCAATTCAGGTAGAGGGTTACAAGGTAAGAGGCATCGTTTATGGAGATATGTGGGGAAGATAACGGTTGACTCTAGACTTGAACAGATTTTAGTGTTCGGGGAAGTATCCTCTTGGGAGTTGGTTCTACAAAGCAGTGGTAAGAGCATATTTAAAAATTGAGGAAAATATTCCCCCTAATCTAAAATGTTATTTAATTTGGGTTTTAAATTTACTATATTTACTATTATTTTCTGATAATCTCGTAGGAACATCTGTATCTACAAAATTCAGCACGTTTATGAACATGAAAAGAAAATCTAAATTCTTTTAAAAATATTGGCATTTGATTATTTGTACTAAGCTTTTCCATTTATGATTAGTAAATATTGTTTTACTTAATAATAATATCATCTAAAAAGGTGAAATTAATATAGAATTTTAAAAGATTTAAAACTTAAATTATTAACTTGAATTAATCTAAAATAAATGAAAAAATGAAAACAATTCTTGTATAAATTCATTATTCACCGATAAAAATTTATTTAAGACAATGATGGTTTTAATATACCATATTTATAAAAGCAATTAAAAATTTTTGTAATTAAATAATATAGTTTTATTGCATT